CGTGAGCAGGCCCGCGGCGGCTCCCGGGCACTCCTGTGCCCCCAGCCCTGCCCCTGAGCTCAGAGATGGGCTGGGGGGACACACGGGGACGTTGTCCCTAGCAGGGCGGTGACTTCCAGCTCTCCCACCAAGTGGGGCCGAGGGGGTTTCTCTGCACAAGAAGAGTGTAGGAATAAATTGCTTTTCCTTCCTGAGCAAGCAAAGCCCAGCAGTTTGCTCCTTCAGCTGCTGAGGCTGGGGTGGCTTTAAGCTCTGTCATCTTCTTCCCCCGGAGCCCCTGCGCAGTGAAACTGGTGGGAGCTCCGCTGCTGACTTTGGTGGTGACGAGATCTGGAGGCTGAGCAGTGTCAGGCCTCTGTTTTCCGTGGGGAAATGATATCTTAACAGAAGATGACAATGTAATTCTGCAAAGCCTTTCCCTGTTGCTTGTGTTTCCATGTTGGGGTGTGTGGTTGTTTTTTAAAGGAGGTGGCATTTGAAATATGAAGTTTGACAGCCGTAGTTAAGCCTGACGTGACAGCCTGCTTTCTTCTTACTCATAGAGTGCCGAGATTTACACAATCCCTCAGGGACTGGTGTCTACAGCGACAGGCATCTCGTTCCTTTGTTAAAAGTGATTTAAAATGTAATAGTTTGCTACGCACTTCTCTTCCGCGGGCGAACACTCGTGCTGGGAGAGTGGCACCTCTTCTGAGCACCCTGCAAACGGGGTTTCGGTGGGTGCTCGGGGTGGTTGCTGGACGGGGAGGTGGGATCACCGTTCCTCGCAGCATCCCTCCAGCTGCTGGCTCCAGGCTCGCTTTGCTCATTCCTGATAGATCCTGATCCTGCACCCCTTCCTCTGTTGGAAGCCCCCCTTTGATGTGCTTCCCTACTCGCAGGCGGGACTGGGCGGGAGCTTGGAGCATTGTCTGTGCCGTGGCGAGGCAGCAGGCGCTGCCACTTCTCTGCCCTGGCCAGTGCAGGATGTTTCCCGAAGCCTAACACAGATCTTGGTGTGATTTTTAAGCTGGTCACAGCTGAGCTCCCGTGGAGCCGAACGGAGAGAATCCGGGGCCAAGGCTGGCATTTGCACTGGGCTGAGGGCTTTTTGATTAACCCGGCCCAGTGCGTCAGGCAGCGGAGGAGAGGAAGAGATAACGTGATAAAATGCAGATTAATGTTACATTCTTTAGTGTAAGCTTGTGAAACTGGTGCCTTGCTTGGCTTGGTCACACCCTGAGCAACCGACTCTGAGCAGAGCTGGCTTAGAGATCCCCACGAGCCCCAAATTCTGTTTTTCTAGTCTTTTGGGCAGCTGTTCCTTCTCCCCGCTAAGCAGCAAGCAAATTAAAAAAGCACTCTGCAGCTGGAAAGGTTTCTTTTCCTGGTACAAACTGCATTGGTCAAACTTCTTCTCCTCCCAGCCTGGGACAGCTCGTTGGCCCCAGGTGTTCTCTGCTATTTATTCTCTTTCTGCATGAGAACAAGGCTGTGTTTCTACCTGGGCCTGGATGCAGGACGGATTACCCCGGTGTGGTGGCCGGCGAGGCTGTGGACCCACTCCTGTCGCTGCAAAACACCCAAGGGAGGGCGGTTTCCCTGCTCCCGCTCCGCTGCCGTTCCCTTTTAAAGAGTTGTCGTGGCTCTGCTAATCTCAGAGCAAATCGCCTGAACGAGCTCGAGTCGTTTATTTGCCACCTTGGACTTTCGAGCCAAGAAAAACGCTCCTGGTGAAAATTGGGGGTTCAATAAAAACCCCAGACCCCTTGCTTCTCCACCCCTGAGCGACGTGCCCGGTTGGGAGGGGTTTTGGCGGCTCTGCTGGGTTGCAACGGCCGCACAGCTCGGGGGGAAAAGCGCGGGGGGGGGCTGCTGGCAGGGGCGTCCGATCCTGGCGGCGTCGGTGCTGCCGTGGTTCTCATCGCTCCCCTTGTGTCTCCCAGGTCATGCTGGCAGCGTCGTACTGGTCCCTCTTGGCCCCTGCTATCGACATGGCCGAGGAATCCGGCAGCTTCGGAGCCTTCGCGTTCTTCCCCGTGGCCGTGGGCTTCGCTCTGGGAGCGGCTTTTGTGTACTTCGCCGACCTGCTCATCCCAGCACTGGTAAGTTTGATGGTTTTTTTTTAATTATTTTTCCTTTTTTTTTGTTTTTCACACCTCTGCTTTTGTTCCTTTCGCTGGCAACACTTTGCAAACACTTCAGGTGTGTCCTTCTGTTTCGACCCAGGGGTTTACTCTGCAGAGCTGCCAACCCTCTAAGCGTGTCAAAATTGAACAAACCACCCTACTGTCGAGGAGTATTATTAAATAAATAAATAAATTGGAGGCTGTTGGGAGTTTTACAGCTGAAAACACAAGAGTGGCTTGGTCAGTACAGGTATTTTTAAGAGCTCTACAGAACTTTTTGAAATTTTTTTTAAGATTTCTTTTGAGTGGAAGGGGGGTATTACCCGTTAGAGCTGGTTACCCTGGTGTCCAGGGGAGTGAGCAGCATCACCCTCCCCTGCTCTCTCATGACAGGCACAGCCGAACGCATCCTCAACTATGAAGAAAATTACTTGATATTATGCTGCGTTGCTCCCAGCGCAAATGGATGCATTAAAGAACAAATAAATGAACTGACGGCAGAGTCGGATGGCTCAAAGCTTGGCCCCTGCTCTGTGCTCTGCCTGCCCACGTCCTGCTTGTTCCTGGGGGTCCTGAATCCTTTGCAGGATGCAGCAGGGATTCTGGGGGCTGCCCTTGGAAGCCAGTTGCCATCAAACCCCACTTTTTTTTTTTTCCTTCTGCTCTCAATAAGCCGAGGTCTCTTGCCCTGCCTTGGCCGTCGCGGCGATCGCCTTCGTTACGAGGTGCTGGGGCCCGGGGTGTATTTGATCAGCTGCCCGAAGCTCGAGGTTTCCCAACAGGGCGGATAAACAGTCGCGTCGTGAAACCCGCTGCTTCCCCACGGCCGGTGTTCCTCTGCGCTGCGTTTTGAAACGGGAGCGTGCGGAGAGGGGGAGGAACGTCGGGCGAGCGAAATTCTTGGGTTGCAAAGAGCGGGTGACGCAGGCGGGCAGCGCGCGGTGGTGAGGGTGACGTCCTGTCTTGCAGGGAGCAGCACAGTGTGTATGATAGGTATGTATAAGACAAATACGTGCTGGTCCCGTGGTCCCACGGGACTTGAGGTAGCTGGCACGTGCGCTAACGCAGAGCTCCAAGAGCGTTTGCTCTTACCTCCAAGAGTAAACTTGCAATCACTTTACTCTTACCATTAGCTCCAAGTGACTCATTCTTGTGTAACTGGGTGTCCCTGGGCTGGGATGTGTCCTCCAGTGGGCAGGACCTGCCTTTTTAGAGTCTGTGCGAATGCAAAACGCTGCTTGTCCTCTGCCTGGGTAACTCGACTGGGGTCAGGAGAGCTGGTGGTGGGTGAGGAGCTCCCGTGTTCCTGCCCCAGAGGCAGCGGTGACAGCGTGCAGAGCTGGCCAGGGGCCCTGCAGTGGGTGGGGATGGGATTTTTGGGATGCTCTAGGAAGGCGACAGCGTGCCCAGAGACTTGTCGAAGTTACAAGGGGTGCTGTGGGAGGAGCACAGGTAGAGCTTCAAGCTGCTTGTTGATGAAACAAAAAATTCCCAAGCGCTTGGTGAGCCCTGAGCTGTCCTTGGGGCTGCGCTGGCTGGCAAATTTGGCTCAAGGTGCATCTCCCTTCTCTTGGAGCTCACGTTTCTCTTTCAGGAGCCAGACAAGTGCTAAGCCATTGCGCTTCACTTCCAAGTTTTCTTTCTAAATCAGTTAGAATCTCAGGGTTGTTTCGTTTTGTTTTTTTTTTTTCCTTTTTACCCCTGAAATTCAAGTCGGGCAGGGAAGGGATGCTGAGGAGGCTGCGGGGCACGCTGTCCCTGGGAGGGCAGGACGAGGGAGCTGTTTTTAGCAGGTTGCTCTTTGCGCAGAGAGCTTTCCCTCTCTGCCTGGCACTCCTCCATAATGGGTTTGCTGGATGGCAACAGGCAGTAAAAGCTTTTAATGGCTCCTTATCACCCCAGCCCTGCTCCCTGGGGAGGGAGGAAGGCTTCCCTCCTGCTGCAGCCCCACCGGGAGCTTGTGAGGGTGCCCAAAGGTTTGCTCAATACTTGGCAGAGCTGGGGCTGGCAGGAGAGGTAAACCTCAGTGACAAACTGGTTAATGATGCCGAGCAGCTGTAGTCATTAAAATCCTTAGAAAAGGCAGATCTAATCTATTACATCTTTATCTTTTGCCGTTTCCCCTACATCGAAGCCTTTAACGTGTTTGCTCTTTTAGCTGAGCTTATGGAGGAGGAGAGGCTGGCCTGGGCAGGGGCAGGACAGATGTGCTGGTGGGCATTCGGGTGTCCTTGGGGAGCGAGGCTGCTGCAGAACCGGCCCTCAAGGCTTCTGAAAAAGGGGTTTTCCTTTATTTTGGCAGCGGTCTCCTCAGCCAACGCGTGTCCCCACCAGCTGCGTTGTGCAGCAGAACGTTGCTGCAGCTTCTGCAATATCTTAAACCGCTGACAAGCTGTTCCTTCCCTGGCCCCGGTGATGCTGCAACTGTTTTCTCCCCTTTCTTTGCTCTGGTTTAACCTTATGGCTACTTTTTAAATAAGAATTTGGCTCTCGACTGATATTTGAGAAGGCTTCTGGATGGAGAGGGGTGGGTGGTGGGGGAGTGTATGAGATGCTATCGCCGTTAAGAGATGCTATCGCCGTTACTGAAAAGCTTTGGGGCTGAGGGTCTTCGATGCCAAAACATGAATTTTTTGAGCGAGAGTTTGCTTAAAAACACCCCTGAGCGCAGTAGGTCCCTGATCGCGGAGCAGCTATTTTGGGTCTACTGTAACACGTAAGCGTGCTGGAATTAGGTAATTATTATTATTCTCATCCTTCAAATGCATCTTGCAGCTCAGCTGACTTGGCTGCGGTTTGTTCAGGGTGTGATGCTTCCTTGGCTTTCCACGATGCTTTTCTTGCTCTGGCCGCCCTCCTCCCAGAGGAATCCCACGAGAGTCCAGAAGATGCATCCAGCCCTGACTTTGGTTTGGTTTTTTTTTGGAGGGGAGAAAGCCAGCTGGCCCCTGCAGGCGATGACAAGTCCCCCGCCCCGTGGGCTCCCTGCCAGCTCCGCCGTACCTGCCTGCCCACATGCGGACGCGCTTCTATTAACCGCCGGGTTCTTTCCGCTCCCCAGCTGCCTGACGTCCTCTCAGCTCCCGATCATTACGCTAAATAGGATAATGAGGCTTAATCAGCTGCTTCTCCTCTACCTCGAGGCTTCATTTTGCTCAGGAGCATCTGCTTGCCTGCAGAAAGCAGCTCCTGCATCCCTTGCGTGGCTCTGCGGCTGGAGCCCAGCGCGGTCCAGGATGGGTTTGGGGGTCGGGGCAGCCCCTGGGGTCTCCCCTGGGCGAGCTGATGGGTGTTTGAGGGGGAAGGAGAGGAGGGCAGATGTTGCAGGAGAACCAGGAGTTAATATATAATCCAGGGGGAGAGCTGATGGGTCATTACTCACTTCTAACCAGGAGCCTGCCAATACTTCTCGCGTAAAAGATGAATGGGGATGTGAGGATGAGGAGCCAGGACTGTACTTCTGTCCTGGAAATACTATCTCAACTGGAATTTTATTTTTTTTTCCTTGACAGCTAGATACACGGGTTTGGTGGTGGTTGGGTCTTTGGTTTGGGTTTTGTTGTTTGTTTTTTTTCCCCCTGAGCACAGAGTAAATCAATAAAGCTGCATGTGATGGGTGGACCATTCCTTAGATTTAAAGTACATAGTGACTAAAGTGCCTTTTAAAAGCCTTTTGCCTGCATTGGTGTGTGCTTTGCGGGTCCTTCCTGCAGCACCGGGGCCCAGCACGGTCAAAACCCCCTCCCGGGGGCTCGGGGCTTGCGTTTCGTACCTGGTTTTGAAATACTTGGGGCTGTGGTTTGCAGCTGTGTAACGGTTCTCGTGAGCAGCCTGAGGATCTTCACGTGGGATGGATGAGAGAGGAGCGGGTACGTGTGTGGATGTTCCTAGTAGGAGGCTGGATCCCGTTAACCCCCTCGAAACCGAATTGCGTTGTGCTCCTGCCTTCTTCTGGTTTTGGCGAATCAAGGCTTGCAAACTGTCTTGGAACGTAGTCTGAGAATGGGCATTTTGCACAGTGCTTTTTCAGCTATTTTTGGTGAGCACCCTTGGGAAGGAGCTGAGAACTTGACAAACAGCTACCCGAGGGATACTCTCCCGTTTAGTAACGTCGGTGCCTGTCGTTTGGCTCGGAACGTGCCTCGAGGAGGCGCATTTTTACTTTTTTAAATGTACGCAAGTCACGTATCGGGATGTGGGGAAAAGCTGAGAACAGTGCAGGGATGGGGAAACTGCAGAAGGGAGGGAGAAACCGTTGCACCCAGTCCAGGCGTAGCTGCGTGTTATTTAAAATTGCAAATTTTATTTATTTATTTTTTTTCTTGAGGCTAAAACTACAGCTGGAGTAGACCATGGGAAGCATCTTTTTTTGGGGTGTCACTGGGCAGTGATTCTTAGCACATACCTGGTGTACAGAGGTGGCTGCACAAGCACTTTGGGTGCAGTTCGAGGACATCGGTGACCCTCCCAGCTCGGCGGAGTACGTGCTTCCACTCGCGGAAGATGTGAAGTGTTCAGTCCTGCTCTGCCTCCTGATTTGCATGGAGCTGGATCGGATGGGTTAATTAGTTCATGAGGCGGTAAAAATGCGCTGGGTCTCGTCACTGGTGTTAATTTATAATCAGAATAAAGTTTCCTCGTATGCAATTTGCGAATTCCCCCTGAGACGTGCCCATCACAAGTTCCCATTCTTGATGCGCTTCTTCCTGTTCATCTGTGACTCCTAGAAAGTTAATTAGCTGCACGTCCTCGTTGCCGGGCTGGGTAGAGGCTTTTTCCATCCAAGCGTTAACCAAGGGATGTGCCTGTGTGCGGGGCACGTGTATTTTCTGTCTTATTACATTTCTGAGCGTGGGACTGAAACACTGTCCAGATCAGCCCGGCCGCGGTGACGTGGGTGGTGGCATCTCGCCGAGCTCAGCCTGGCCAAACGTGTGTCTTGAGCCACGTCATCCGGTGGAAACGATCAAGTAACG